GAGCCCCAAGCATTGTGAAGTAATGGAACATTAAAAACAAAGAGACAATATTCTGAGTGTCTGGGGTGGGGGCAGGGGGAAGGTCACATATAAGAAATCATAATAAAAATGACTCTAGGCTTCTCAACAGTGTTTGAAGAAAGAAGACAGTGGAAAAAATGTGTTCAGTGTGTTGAGGGAAAGGACTTCCAACCTAGAATGATATGATCAGCCAAGCAATCAATGTGAAGAATGAATATAGACATTTTAAGACTTGTAAGATCTGAAAAGAATCACCACCTGTGTTAGTTTTCTATTGCTGCTGTAGCGTATTGTCACAAATTTAGTGGCTTAAAACTTAAAACTCAACGTTATTCTCTTACAGTTCCAGAGATCAGAATTCCCAAATAAAAGCATTGGCAGGGCTGTCCTTCCAGAGTCTCTGGGGGAGAATCAGGTCCTCAACTTCCCTAGCTTCTAGAGACTGTGGCATTTCTTGGCTTGCGGCCCCTTCCTCCATCTATAGAACCAACACTTTCTCTCTCTTTCTCTCTCTCTGTCTCTATCATACCTCCTACCTCCTTTTTAATTACCTACCTCCTATAATTACATTGGAGCCACCTGGATAACCCAGAACAGCCTCCCTATTCTAAGATCCTTAATTTACTCAGATCTGCAGTCTCGTTTGTCACTGAAAGATATAGATTTACAAGTTTCAGAGATTAGAATGCGGACATCTTTGGGGAGCCATTATTCTATGTACTACACTACCCAGTTAACTTGTTTCCACTAAAACGTAGGAATAATCTGAGAAAGAGTGCTGAAATAGGAGACTCCTCACAGGACAGCAAATAGTGAAGTCATAACGTCCAAATAACAACTGAAAAGCCATCCTGATTGTGACGGTGTGATTTGAGAGACGGGCATGTCAGCTCTGGTCCTCAGGATGTCTCTGCCAGTGTCATTTATTTTTAACTTGATAGAACTATTAGATGATCTGCTTCACCAAAACAGGGAATAAATTTACATGTGTAAACACAGACTACAGACCCAGGAAACTTAACTGAGAAGAAAATCAAAGGGAAATCCAAAGCTGACATCAAAAGAAATTCCTAGGATTATGGTTGCACAGAGGGTCTACAGAGTAACCATCAGGGACGGAAAGGGAAAGAGGTATACAAGAAAAAAAAAAAAAAAAAAAAAAAAAAGATGTTTCCCCAAAGGTTGAAAGCAATAGATTTCAAGGCAATCAACATATATTTTTTTATTGAGGAAAAAATTAAGGACTTCAGCTTTTGGTAATAGCACAACTAGGTGGTTCAGACCAACCCTGCCACCAAAGACAAAGAAAACAACTGGATAGAATATTTAAATAAAACTCCTTGGAGCGCCTGGGCGGCTCAGTCCATTAAACATCTGACTCTTGGTTTCGGCTCAGGTCATGACCTCATGGTTCCCGAGATGGAGCCCGGGGTCAGGATCAGCACGGAGCCTGCTTGGGATTCTCTCTCCCTCTCTCTCTGCCCCTCCCCCACTTGCACTCTATCTCAAAATAAAAAAAAAAATAAAAATAAATAAAAGGAAGCATACTTGATCCTGTCGCAAACACACTTAGCACACAGGGAACCACCAAACCTTATTGACAGGTTTTTTCATTTTATTTTATTTACTTCATTTTTTTTAATGTTTTTATTTATTTTTGAGACAGAGAGAGACAGAGCATGAGCAGGGGAGGGGCAGAGAGAGAGAGGGAGACACAGAATCCGAAGCGGGCTCCGGGCTCCGAGCTGTCAGCACAGAGCCCGACGCGGGGGCTCGAACTCACGGACTGTGAGATCATGACCTGAGCCGAAGTCGGACCACCCAACCAACTGAGCCACCCAGGCGCCCCAGGTTTTTTCATTTTAGACAACCTCAAAATAACTGAGGGTCTCACAAGGCATGAACTCCTCCAAGTCGGTCTGGGCAGCACACCCCATGGGGGTTCGGGTGCTTTCCCAATCTTCTTGATAGGAAGGTAAATGACTACATTACCAGAGGTTTGGGACAGCCTAGTTTTGTTAGAGGCTATTCTGTAGGACAACCCACAACCAGATGTCAAATGCTGGATCATTCTGAATGCTGATAGAATGCCGTCCCTGGAAGAGGGCTCCACTTGAAACTTCTCAAACCCAAACCCAATTTGGTAACATTTGAAGCTCTGGCGTGTTTTAGTCCGTAGCCTCCATGTTGCAGACTCTCTCTCTCTCTCTCTCTCTCTCTCCTCCCCCCCCCCCCCCCCCCCCCCCCCCTCCTCCCCCCCCCCCCCGCCCCCAAGTAAGAGTATAGGCACTCCAGTGGATGTTTAGAATCCTCATCAGCTGGGGCCGGTGTATTAAAGGTCTGATAGCATTTTTCAAATGTTATCATTTGAAAAGCAAGTCCGGCTCTTGAATATTCCCCTAAATACCCTACCTTTCCTAGTTTTTTCATAAATGTGTTTTAATATTACCCTCATGTGTAGTGTGTGCTGTTTCCAATATCCAAATGTTTCTATCATTTGGGCCTATGACTGGACTGATATTTTTCTGCCTTCAGAGGACTAAATTATACCTAGAAATTTTACTCTAGTGTGGGGCCCTTCTACCTACCTGGCTCGATGGTCCATCTTGCTACCGTAAGAAATTCAACTAACGGTTTTGACCCTAGTCTGTTCTTCCAAGTTCTCACCATAAATAGGAACGTCATCAAATAGGAAATATTGGTGTGTGTGTCTGTTGTATTTTTAGGAGAACCGTAGGATGTCGTGTTAGAAATTGTGGCTTATTACTGGGCTGTTAAGGTGTCCTTGAGGCAACCTCGTAAACCCACGTTGTCTGCCTTCCCATGTGATTAGTCATGGGTTGGCTCTTCTCATCAACTACAACAGCAAACAGCATGTCAGAGAAGTCTACCACTGTTGCAGGATCATTTTTGCCATGATACTTGGGATTCATTGTCTCGCTCCTTCGAAGAATGAAAAGGTGGTCATAAAATGAACAGCAGGCAGAAGTTTATTAGGGTGTAAGACTAGAAAGTAAGAATAGGGGCGCCTGGGTGGCTCAGTCGGTTGGGTGTCAGACTTCGGCTGAGGTCATGATCTCACAGTTCGTGAGTTCAAGCCCTGCATCGGGCTCTGTGCTGACAGCTCGGAGCCTAGAGCCTGCTTTGGATTCTGTGTCTGCCTCTCCCCCACTCATGCTCTGTCTCCCTCCATCTCTCAAAAATGAATAAACATTAACAAAAAAAAATTAAAAAAAAAAAAAAAAAAGCAAGAATAGTACGAAAGCTCTTTTGAATGCCCAGGACATTAAGCAAGGGTCCTTGTTTTACAAGGTTTTGGGTAGCCCACCCCTCACCCCTTAACCCCCCCACTTCCCTCTCAGGTCCTACCCTTATTGGCCTGGTAGCTCGAGGTGCTGGCTGGTCCATCCCTGATTGGCTCAATTCCATTACGAGAGATAGCCTAAAACCAAACTGAGGTCTTTTGTCAAATTCCTGAGGGAAACCTCAGGGGGAGTAGGTGGGGCCTGTTACTTTCTGAAGAGGAACCTTAAGCCTGAGGGGGTTTACTGTGTTCAGACCTACTCCCAGCATTGTTCCAAAATAGGTGTTTTTCCCCACCTGGGACCTCAGCTCCTATCCTTTCCCTCTCTATTTTATCCTATCTTTTCCTATCATATCACCCTGTAGTAAGTTCCAGATCCAGTGGTGATCTTGGTTATGATAGCACCTGTATCCGGGGGTACTCCTCCAATTTGGGGAGAGCAGTTGTTTAAAATCATATAAGCTACTGTCAACCAATAGGACCCATCTGGCTTTTTCACAGGCCAGCCGGGTTGTTCTATGGTGAAATTGTAGGCACACTAATTTTTTCCTTAATTTAAATATGTCCTATTACATGCTTTCCAAGGATGTTTCCTAAATTGGGGGGTCTGTCATCAATTGTTAGGAATCGATTCGGTCACTAAATACCTCTCAGTCCTTTAGGTATTTCATTTTTATTGGTAAAATGTTCTAAATCAGTAGGATATCCTGTATCATTGTTACTTGGGCCCCGTATCTAACGGCATAGTGGTATAAGCAGTATTTTTATTTACAAGAGGGTTTTCTATTGATACGGTTACTGTAACATGGATGGATGTTTCTGGCTTTAGCCAGGAGACAGAGACTCTGAGTCCCTTTGAGGGTCCCCTGGGGTTTTCTCTCCTTCGGTTATTGGTGACTTATCTGTTAGTGGGATTTGGCTTTATAAAGGGGTTAGTATTTACAGTAAATGGATTGCTGGGTTGACAGGTGTTTCTTTTTTCTTTAGGCCTATTTACATTAAAAGATTGGTTGTTTCTATTTCTCTGCCACTGTAAGCAGTTTCTGGGGTTTCTACTGGGTTTGTCTTTTCATAATTTGTTTCGCAAGGTGGTGTCCTAAATGGTTTCGACTGACGGTAGCACCTTGTGGCCTCAGGTCTGTGCGGTCTAAGGTGATTGGCACGGTCTATGTACATTCGGTGGAGGCCTGTTATCTTTATGGACACAAATGGAATCTTGACTTATTTCCTCAGCTGTTCTCATCAGTCACTTCTATGTTTCTATGGCCTGTAAATACAGTACAGAAGACTGCAGTACATTTAGACTGCCTTTTAAAACCTGTTCCGTCCCTTCTGCAGGTAGCAGTGAATGTGTCTGTCTCCGTCATAATAGTTAATAGTCCTAATTTCATTATTATATTACTACTCCTCCCGGTGTTTTCCATGGAGATCTTTTTTTTTTTTTTTAAATTTTTTTTTCGACGTTTATTTATTTTTGGGACAGAGAGAGACAGAGCATGAACGGGGGAGGGGCAGAGAGAGAGGGAGACACAGAATCGGAAACAGGCTCCAGGCTCTGAGCCATCAGCCCAGAGCCCGACGCGGGGCTCGAACTCACGGACCGCGAGATCGTGACCTGGCTGAAGTCGGACGCTTAACCGACTGCGCCACCCAGGCGCCCCTCCATGGAGATCTTTTAAGGTATGATATGTGAAGTGTAGGCCATCGTCTTGTCCACTTTGTTGCTATTGGTCAAGTGAAACCCTTTGAAATTAGTATTATTTTCTCCCGATGATCTAAGGTGTTAAGTTTTAACATCAGCGGTAAGGGGCCCGAGATGTACAGTTTCTGCTTCTGGAGGATCAAATTCTCTCCTCCTCCGGTCCATAAATCTCACAGGCTTGGGGTTTCTGTGTCCAGATCAGTTTGCTGGAATCCTGTTCGAATTTCCTGTCATTTCTGGGCTGGCGTAAGTTCTCACTTTGGGGACTGACCGGATACGGTTTTATCTACAGGCATACCTGAGAGGTAGCGTGGGCTCCGTTCCATACCACTGCAATGAAGCAAATATCACAGGAAAGGTGGTCAAAAGAATCTATGGCTTCCCAGTGCATGTAACACATCTGTTGACGCTATATTGCGGCCTATGCGATAGCAGGATTTCCAAAGAAACAGTCTACATACCTTTACTGCCAAAAAACAAGAAAAATGCTGCAGAGCATCTGAGTTCCCAGTGAGTCACAATCTTTTCGCTGGTGGAGGATCCCGTCTCAGTGCTGATGGCTGCTGACTGATCGGGGTGGTGCTCGCCGAAGGCCGGGGAGGCTGTGGCAATTTCTTAAACTAAGACGACAGGGGAGTGTGCCACGACCTTCCACAAATGACTTCTCCATAGCACGGGACGCTGCTTGATAGCATTTTACCCACAATTTTGAACTCCTTTCAAAATTGGAGGCAATCCCCCCAAACCCTGTCACTGCTTTATCAACCAAGCCTCTGTGATAGTCTCAATCCCTTGCTGTCGTTTCAACAGTGTTCACGGCATCTCTTCACCAGGACAGGATCCCATCTCAAGAAACCGCTTTCTTGGCTCATCCATCAGAAGCAACGCCTCATCGGCTCAAGTTTTATCATGAGATTGCAGGCAGGAAGTCAGTCCTGTCTTCAGGCTCCATTTCTTTCTTCTTGTTCTTTTTCTTTTTTTGTAATTTACATCCATGTTAGTCAGCGTATAGTGCAAGAATGATTTCACGAGTAGAATCCAATGATTCATCCCCTACCTATAACACCCAGTGCTCATCCCAACAAGTGTCCTCCTCTTTTCTTTTTTATTAAAAAAAAATTTTAATGTTTATTTATTCTTTTTTTTTTAATTTTTTTAACGTTTATTTATTTTTGAGACAGAGCATGAACGAGGGAGGGGCAGAGAGAGAGGGAGACACAGAACTGGAAGCAGGCTCCAGGCTCTGAGCCATCAGCCCAGAGCCCGATGCAGGGCTCGAACTCACGGAGTGTGAGATCGTGACCTGAGCTGAAGTCGGACGCTTAACCAACTGAGCCACCCAGGCGCCCCAATGTTTATTTATTCTTGAGAGAGAGACAGAGTGTGAGTTGAGGAGAGGCAGAGAGAGACAGAGGGAGACACAGAATCCGAAGCAGGCTCCAGGCTCCAAGCTGTCAGCACAGAGCCTGACGTGGGACGTGAACTCACAAACCGCAAGATCATCACCTGAGCCGAAGTCGGATGCTTAACCCACTGAGCCACCTATGTGCCCTACCAACAAGTGTCTTCCTTAATGCCCCTTGCCCATTTAGCCCATACCCCCACCAAAAACCCCTCCAGCAACCCTCAGTTTATTCTCTGTATTTAAGAGTCTTTTATGTTTTGTCCCCCTCCCTGTTTTTATATGATTTTTGCTTCCTTTCCCTTAATGTTCATCTGTTTTGTATCTTAAATTCCACGTATGAGTGAAGTCATATGATATTTGTCTTTCTCAGACTGGCTAATTTCGCTTAGCATAATACACTCTAGCTCCATCCATGCTATTGTAAATGGCAAGATTTCATTCTTTTTGGTTGCCGAGTAACACTCCATTGTATATATATATATATACCCAATCTTCTTTATCCATTCATCCATCGATGGACATTTGGGTTCTTTCCATACTTTGGCTGTTGTGGATAGTGCTGCTGTCAACATGGGGGTGCATGTGTCCCTCCGAAACAGCACACCTGTATCCCGTGGATAAATGCCTAGGAGTGCAATTGCTGGGCCGTAGGGTAGTTCTATGTTTAGTTGTTTGAGGAACCTCCATCCTGTTTTCCAGAGTGGCTGCACCAGCTTGCATTCCCACCAGCAGTGCAAGAGGGTTCCTCTCAGGCTCCAGTTCTAATTCTAGTTCTTTTGCTGTTTCCACCACATCTGCAGTCATGTCCTCTGCTGAAGTCTTGAATTCCTCAAAGTCACCCCTGAGGGTTAGAATCAACTTCTTCCAAGCTCTTTGTTAATGTTGATATTTTGACCTCTTCCCACGAATCACGAATGTTCTTAATGGCATTAAAAAAAAAAAAAAATGGTGAATCCTGGGGCACCTGGCTGGCTCAGTCTGTAGAGCACGTGACTCCTGATCTCAGGGTCATGAGTTCAAGCCCCATGTTGGGCCTAGAGCTTACTTTAAAACAAAACAAAACAACAACAACAAAAAACGGTGAATCCTTTCCAGTTTACTTTACCCTGGTCCATCAGAGGAATCGCCACGGCGGCTCTGGCAAGCTACAACATGTATTACTTTTTTTTTTTAATTTCTTTAATGTTTATTTATTATTGAGAGATGGAGAGAGACAGAGCATGAGCAGGGGAGGGGCAGAGAGAGGAGGAGACACAGAATCCGAAGCAGGTTCCAGGCTCTGAGCTGTCAGCACAGAGCCCGACACGGGGCTCGAACTCACAAACCGCGAGATCATGACCTGAGCCGAAGTCGGACGCTCAACCGACTGAGCCACCCAGGCACCCAAACATGTATTACTTAAATAAGAAAACTTGAAAGTCAGAATTACTCCTTTTTCCATGGCCTGCAGAAGGGATGTTGTGTTAGCTAGCAGGCAAGAAAAAAATTAAAATCTCTTGCTATGCCTCCATCAGAACTCTTGGGTGACCAGGTACACTGTCAAGGAGCATTATGAAATAAATCCTCCCTGCAGAGCAGTTCTCAACAGTAGGCTTCAAATCTTCAACCGATCAGATTGGACACAGATGTACTGTCATCTAGGCTCTGTTGCCCCATTTCTATAGCACAGGCAGTGTGGTTGAGCATAATTCTCCAGGGCCGTAGAATTTTCAGGATGGTGAGCGGGCACTGCCTTCCGCTTACAGTCACCAGCTGCATCAGCCCCTAACAGGAGAGTCGGCGCGTCCTCTGAGGCTGTGAAGCCCAGCCCTGCCTGCTAGATCTCTGGGTCCCTTGCTCCACATCAGCACCCGCTGCTTCCCTCCTTCACTCTGAGGTTATGGACTCCACTCCCTTCCTAAAACCTCATGGACCTTCCTTTCCTGGCGGCAGACTTCTCTTCTGCAGCTTCCTCACCTCTCTCAGCCTTCCTAGAGTCGCAGAGAGTTGAAGCCTTGCTCCGGATGAGGCTTTGGCTTAAGGGAAGGTTGTGGCTGCTTTGATATTTTGTCCAGACCACTAGCAACTTCTCTCCGTATCAGCAACTCGGCTGTCTCACTTTCTTAGCATGTGTGTTCACTGGAGTAGCACTTTTAATTTGTCTCAAGAACTTTTCCCTTGCAGTCGTGGCTTGGCTAGCCAGTGCAAGAGGCCTAGCTTTTGTTCGTTCTCAGCTTTTGAGATGCCTTCCTCACTAAGCTTAATCATTTCTAGCTTTTGAGTTCAAGTGAGAGACAGCAACTCTTCCTCTTACTTGAACACTTAGAGGCCACTGTAGGGTTATTAATTGGCCTCATTTCCAACCTGTTGTGACTGGAGGAATAGGAGACCTGAGGGGCGAGAGAGAGAGAGAGAGAGAGAGAGAGAGAGAGGGAGGGAAATGATGGAGCGGTCACGACACACACAACATTTATTAAGTTCACCTTCTTATATTCTGGTCCCCAGAACAATTAAAACAGTAACATCAAATATCACTGATCACAGATCACCGTAACAGATATAGTAACAACGGAAAAGATTGTAATATCGTGAGAATTACTAAAATGTGACACAGAGACACAAAGTGAGCAAACGTTTTGGGGAAAAAGCATTGATACACTTGGTTAGGCAACGTTGCCACAAATTTTCAATCTATAAAAAATGCAATGTTGGGGAGCCTGGGTGGCTCAGTCGGTTGAGCGTCCGACTCCTGAGCTCAGGTCGTGATCGCACAGGCCGTGAGTTCGAGCCCCGCGTCGGGCTCTGTGCTGACAGCTCAGAGCCTGGAGCCTGCTTCGGGTTCTGTGTCTCCCTCTCTCTCTGCCCCTCCCCTGCTCATGCTCTGTCTCTCTCTGTCTCCAAAATAAATAAAAACATGAAAAAATAATTTTTTAATGCAATGTCTGCCAAGCACAATAAAGCAACGAGCAATACAATGAGGTATGCCTATAGTTACATTTAGTTCCATGTTCCATTTTTTGATTAATTTTGTGAAGTGTGTAAGGTCCGTGTCTAGACATATTTTTCTGCAATACCCTGCTGTTCCAGCACCACTTATGGAGGAGACACTCTTTCCTCTATTGTATTGTCTTTCCTCCTTTGTCAAAGATCAACTGACTATGTGGGTCATTTTCTGGGCTCTCTATTCTGTTCCACTGATCTGTTCTTTCACCAATACCGTACCGTCTTGATCACTGTAGACTTACATTAAGTCTTGAAGTTGTTGGGTAGTGTCTGTATTCTAACGTCATTCTTCCCCTTTAATATTGAGTGGGCTATTCTGGATCTTTTGCCCTCCGTGTAAATTTAAGGATCACTTTGTTGATATCCACATAATAACTTGCTGGGATGTAACTGAGATTTGTTTCTTCTCTAAGTGTATTAGCTTGGATTTCCTCTCTAAGTCAGTCATCATTGCTTATCCACTTTCCATCTTCCAAAATGTTGTTGACATCTCCCATGATGATGTTGAAAAGTATGATGATGGGGGACATCTTTGCCTCATTCCTGATCATAGTAAGAAAACTCTGAGTTTCTCACCATTTAAGTATAACAACATTTGTACATTTCTTGCAGATGCTCTTAAATTGAGCAAGTTCCCCTCTATTCCTAGATTGCTGAGTTTTTATCATAATTGATGTGGAATTTTATCAAATGTTTTTCCTGCATCTATTGCCCAGAAACAGGGCAAGTGTCGGAAGAGACTAGGTCACAGTTGGTCGTAATCGGGGATACAAGACATATGCCCATTCCAAACCCTAACCTACAGAAATATGTACATTGTACCTGAAGATAAAGCTTAAGAGTCTGGACTGCCTTGCTCAGATGGGGCCTCTCTAGCTGCTGGGGTGTCCTTCACTAAGAGACACCTGGGAACCTTGATGACTGGTTAGCACAGGAATTCATCAGGTACCCGGCAAAATGATTCTACTGTTGCTAGTTTAAAGCTAACGCCTCTGAAAGGTTTGGGGGTTGTGCTCTCTCTCCCCTGGAGGCTAGGCAGGCAGATGAGGACCAGTCTGAACTCCACGGGTCTGTCGTGTCCCGGTTACCTAAGGTTGGCTGATGGGGTACATTCTTCACATGTGTGCATCAATAGTTCAGGGTAGGGGCACCTGGCTGGCTCAGGCCATACAGCATGTAACTCCTGATCTCGGGGTCACGAGTTCAAACCCCATGCTGGGCAGAGAGCTTGAAAAAAATTTTTTAATAGTTTTAAATTTTTTCATTTTATTTTAGAGAGGGGGGTGGGAGGGAGAGAGAGAGAGAGAGCGAGAGAGAGAGAGAATGAGTCCCAAGCAGGCTCCATACTCAGTGCAGAGCCTGATGCAGGGCTCAATCCCATGACTCCAGGATCATGACCTGAGCCAAGATCAAGAATCAGACGTTCAACTGATTGAGCCACCCAGGCACCCCTAAAATTTTTTTAAAAAAAGAAAAAAAAAGGGGTGCCTGGGTGGCTCAGTCGGTCCAGTGTCCGACTTCGGCTCAGGTCATGATCTCACAGTCCGTGGGTTTGAGCCCCACGACGGGCTCTGTACCAACAGCTCAGAGCCTGGAGCCTGCTTTGGATTCTGTGTCTCCCTCTTTCTCTGACCCTCCCCCGTTCATGCTCTCTCTCTCTCTCTCTGTCTCAAAAATAAATAAATGTTAAAAAAAAAAATTTTTTTTTTAAAGAAAAAAAAATAGTTCAGGGTGGCCACGACCTCTTACAGTGAAAGTCTCAGTAGAAGCCAGGTCATGCGAGCAGGCTGTTGACAGTACAAAGAACCTGCCAATTTCAAGCCCAAACCCCCACACATGTGCCTGTTCCCCATGAAGGCACAGCTGGAAGAAACTGCTGCCTTGCTAAGATGAAGCTGGGCTGGCTAACTCGGGTATCCTTCACCAAGAGACACTTGGGAGCCTTGATTGCTGGAGAAGCCACAGACCTCATTAGGAAGCCACTCCAAATACGGACTGTTGCCAGTTTAAAGCTTCTGCCTTGAGGTGCCTGGTTCACTCAGTCAGTTGAGCATCCGACTTCGGCTCAGGTCATGATCTCGCGGTTCGTGAGTTCGAGCCCCGAGTCGGCCTCTGTGCTGACAGCTCAGAGCCTGAAACCTGCTTCGGATTCTGTGTCTCCTTCTTTCTCTGCCCCTCCCCCACTCACACTCTGTCTCTGTCTCTGTCTGTGTCTGTGTCTCTCTCT